CTACTAGCTACACTGTGACCAGCCATGTAAGACATGTTAGTCACATAAAATGGGAAAATACAGAAGCCTCCTTCACCAGAGGATGAAGATAAAAAATGCCTAACAGAGAAATGTGAATGAAAAGAACTGAACAAAATCTATTTCTTTCACAACTAGCAAAGCCAGAACATATAACGGTGTGAGATTTGTCCTCTGGAATTGTAAGACTGAAAACCTGGTCCATTTGGACAGATAAGTACATTTCCTAGAGCTTTTTCAGCTAGCACTGAAAATCTCAGAGAACAGAAAATCCTTCTCGTAGAAGAACAGGTAAGCTTTATCAAGGGGAGACGCATTCCACCACAAGTTATATGTCGTGATGTGTAGGCATGGTCACCTAATGATGTGGCTCTTTTGCTTGAGAAACTTCACAGAAGCCCAGGCAACTTATGTATATGGGGGTCATTATCCAGTTCCACTAATGAGGAAAGGTAGGTGTGGATTCATCACTCAGTAATAACTTTTTGAAATCTCAATACTATGTCCTGACAAGAATTCTTAGGTAGAAGGTATCTACCTCCATATCCATCCATCCAAATGGATAGCACATGTCTATGTCAGTCCTGGATCATGGGTCAGTGGAACAAGTGGTGACCTATCACCCTTCCATCCACACTACGCTGGAAGTACTGCTTTCTAACTTCCTACTAATTCCTCTGCTAAGATGATGAAAGACAGAAATGGTCCTGGGAGTCTTCATGGTCCCAAGCGAGGGAAGATTCAAACTGAAGTCAAATGAAGGTGTCAGAAAGAACAGCCAGGAATTATGACAATGACTCAGCTTACACTATAAGACATTGTGCCAAGTACTGTGCTAAAGCACAGCGCTGAGAGAAGTCTTGGCTTCTCCTGGTAAGAGAAGCTGGAACATGCTGGTACAGATTTGGTAAATACTAGTTTGATGAATAATAAACTAAACCATCCCTTGAGTTTGTCATTGTTTCTGATGATGTGAGCCAGCAGTCTCTGCTGCTCAGTGATCTCTCAAACATTCTCAGTTCCCTCTAGCAGTTAATAAGGGAAAAGAGAATCTCAATTAAATTACCTTTCAGAAGGAAGGTATATGGGAATAGGATCCCTTGTCAAGAAGATCAGCCCCTGATACCCCTGATACACTCATAGAGATTAGTGCCAGCCTCTGGCTGAAGTTGACTGCTTCAGCTTCTGATAATCCTAGCAAGCAAGGTCTAAGGAAGATATAATAAACTTTTACTGTTTAGACTTTTTCACACATATGTAGGGCTTGTAGGCAGGGATATGTCTTTAATGTAAATGGCAATGGCAGTTGGTAAGCAAAACTCTCAATGTGGTATGAGTATCATTCAGAGCACAGGGCCAATATCTAATCTTTGGACAGCCCAAAGAGCCATCACCCAAAGTGGAGAACAACAGTTTTGACAATCTAAAAGCCGACAGTGCCTGGAAAGAAAGAGGACAGCAAGCTGTTCCACCTCACCAGGAGGCTGTAAAGAACAGAGGAGGCTCTGGTTGTACTCTGCCCTCTGTGTGAATGTTCAGTGCTCCTGTAGGTATACTCTGAGCATGCCGTACCACACATGGTCAGGAGTGCATCCCTCACAAAAACACAGCTGCAGCAGGTTATTCACTTTTACAGAGAGGGTCAGGAGGCCACCCAACTCTAATCATCAGAGATTCTGCCCTGGAATCAGCTCCTTCCTCAGCCTGCTCACACTCTCCCAGAAAGTGGCCATAATTGCTAGTTTATATGCTTGTCTGGGTGGAATCCAACCTTTTTTTCAAAGCTATCCTACGGTGCCAAATCCTGTGGTGTCTGCCTCAAAAGCACTCTCCATGAGAACAGAATGCACATTTTATGAGAGCAGGAGAGCATGTCAAAGCAGGTGCAGAATATACTTCCCTGGCTACAAAAAGCAAAAAGTGCAGAGAGACAGTTAGTGTACTGAACCCATTCCCTTCTTCACAGACTTATTTAGAACATCTAACACTTACTACAGATTTCAGCAAAGATTATTATTGGTAGCAGAAGTTCCTGTCCAGAGGTACAAAGGAGAAGCTTCTGTGCACCCATAGCATGGCCCCATTCTCATTACACACATTGGAAAGAATACTGCTGATTTTATTAGGAATTGAGTCAGACCCTGTCACCAAACTAGTCAGTGAGCTACAAAGTGTTGAGGGGGAAGGCTCACTTCTGCTTTCTAAATCCAAACAAACGGTAATCCAAAACATATTTTCCCATTTCAATCACTTTCCTGATTTAATAAGCCTCTTCTCACTGTACTAGGGCAATATTACTGTTTATTGATTATTAATTTTTAAAATGGAATCCCATCTGTTCTGCTTTATTCCTGATTATTTCCAAAGTTTCCAGTTAAATACAGAATAAGATCTTAATTCCAGTATGGTTCAAATACACTGAAGTGAAGGCTACATGTGCTTTTTCATCTTCTCCTTTGTAGTCTAAGGATGGGTGGCTTCTTCACAGAAACTTCTTAAACATTAGAAAATACAAGCACTGCTGTAAATGGGAAGATGTGCAAAGGTTCCTTTACAGGTTTGTTTTTAATTTCTTGTTTCCAAACAAGATTGGAGAACTTCATAAAACATAATAATCCCACAGAAGACTCATGTCACTTTGATATCAATTCCATGATGGGCTTGACATGCAGACAGTCAAGCAAATTCAAATATTATAAACAACATTATAATTTCTGTTCATATAGAATAAGATTGCTAAAATTAGGCTGTGTGGGAGGTTTGCACCAACGTACATGCACATGCACCAATATACACATCCTCTCTCCTCTGTTACTAATACCTCTCTACCTGACATCATGGCTTTTTCTGATGTTCCTAGGCTTAGCTGCCCTTAAACAATGTAATTTCCATTGACTGATTCATACACTTTGCCTAGAGATTTGCACTGCAGAAGCAATCTCATTAGTCTCTTTTGCTCTGAAGATCTAAACACCAATCACCACACCTCTTAATTCTCCTCGTGCAATCAAAGCATGTCGTACAATGCCATGCCCTCTGCTTTTCCTGAAAGCTAACAGAACCAGTCTAGTTTACAAACAGCCTCCCCTTTCCAAACTGCCTCTGCAGTCTCTCACAGTCTCTCTCCCGTTCTTCAGTGATAACTCCATCCACCACTGGAATCTGCTGTGGCACAATCCAATTATGCTTCTGTTGCTGAAAAGACCTGAGAGGGCTTTGAGTTCACAGAAAAGGATCAGGATTCTCATGCCTCTTGAATCCAGCCATTTCCATGCTTTATATAGTGCTGCATGTAACAGTATTTTTCAAAGAAATGAGAAAAGAGGGACTGAAAAAACTGAACATTATCTAATGTAGTGCAACTTGTATGCAATCTATGACTGGAGCTCTAAGTCACATATGTACGATGAACATGACCCCTTTTGATTCAGATTAGCTTATGCATCATCTGTCCTTCCATAGTGGGATAAAGCTGTGGAAGCCCATTAAAAAAAAAGGGGTCAAGCTAAAGGTATTCAGAAATAGCCATCAGTTTTATTACTGATTCACAACAAATTCACATTAATTGTCAACATCAGGCAATGCACCAATTCTGCAATGTCCTTACTGTAATGTATGTACAGACGATTTCCTCCGTACTTGCTTCTCATGGCCACCATTTCACAGAGCAAAATTTGTCTCAGACAAACCACTGACATACTGAACAACATGCTGAAAAAATCCTTGATCCTTTTTTTTTTTCTTCTGTCTGTTGTACAGTATGTTCCAAATATATGGAGGACACAAGACAAATTGACAAAAAGTCGGATGACCCTTCTAAGACTATTCCTACAGTTTTACAGACTTAGTCTTAGCATCTTACAGTCATTCATGCTTGAAACTATTCCTATAGTGCTTTCTCCTAACACATACCACAGTCCTAAAATTTATCCACCTTGGCTTGTTTCTTGCTTATGTCAGAGATTATTGCAGTCACTAGTTACATACAGTGCTGAGACCTTTACCATCCGTGTTTATGTGATAGGTGACAAACAGGCAATGTTGCCTGTGTTAATGGATTCCTCTAAAATTATGTTGATTCTTTTGCGTAAACAAACAGAGGTATCAATGAACCATTAGAAAACAAAAATTTAGATTAATTAAAAACAATTCTGCAAGCTTAGAAATCATGGACTTATTTCCCCAATTGAAATGAATGTCACAGTCATAATTGTTAAAAATTCCTACCCACACTAATCATAAAGACTAATCTTACTAAAACTAAAAAAAAAAAAAAGGAATTTACTTATTATCACCTTGTGTTTAAGAAATGTTTTTCCTGAATAACAAAAACATGTGCACCTGCTTTATTTTGTTCCCAGTTAGCTGTCTTTTTCTGGTTCGCTTTCACTAAGCTGATCTTTGGGTTGCCCATATTTCAGGAGAGAACCTTTAGAACAGTTATAATCCAAGTGAAAACTTTATTCTTCTAAATCCTAAATTAGAGACAAACTTAATCTGATAGTTTCACATCAAACAGGCTACCTTCAAATTCTGAGATGTAACTGGTTTGCTTTCTTTCTCTCATCTCCATTGCTCTTTGTCACATCTTTCAGTGAATTTTTCTTTTTTAATCCTTAGACTTGTTTATCTGTAGCTGTTACTCACTGTTTCACCAGATAGCAAGCCATGATGTTATTTCACAGCAAAGCAGGGCCACCGTGCTGTCCTCACAGAAGTCAATGGCAAAATTCCCACTCACAGCAGAAGAAATGAAATATTGCTCTGATACATTTTAACTGAAACTCTTCTGGACTCCCAGCTAATTAAATACCCTGCCATTATGCTACTTTGCCTTTGTTAACTTTCTACTTGTCTGGGTTGAAATACTTGAATACTTCTTCAAGAAATTGACTTTTCTTTCTTCTGTTCTCCTCTTTACCTTGAAATCAACAAACATATTCCTTTTCTTTTCTTTTAAAATGTAATATTACGTTTCTTACCATCCATGCTGTGACAAAATCTCCCATCCAAGTCCCAACTGCAGCTACCTTCATGAAATTTTCATTCCTGATGCCCATGAAGTCTGTTATAATGTATGCACTGTGGAAACAAGAACACAGACTGTAAGCGATACACGTTTGCTTAATGCTGTTACAAAGAACTTGCTTTAGTGACAAAATTTATTATTAGCTGTGAAAGATTTCCCATTTCTTTCATAATCACTTTTTCTGCTAGATCTGAGTCTTGACATAGAACTGAACCAGGATGGGCCAATTCCAATTAGAAATGGAAATGTGAATCTGATTTTACAGCCCATGTCTCTTTTGAAGGTGCTAAAATAATGATAGGCAAAGGCTTTAGGATTATGTAAGGCTTCTGGAAATATAAACTATTTTACACTTTTTAGCTCTTCCTTTGTACAAATGGAACTGCAACATTCTCAGAATTGGTGACTTTGCAACATTTTTATGAAGAAAAATGAATATATTTAAGTTCTCTTTAAAAAGATAATTGAGGCACTTGACTTTTCACTCTACCAGTTATACAACCACATGTTTTTTTAACAGAACAGTGTAAGCAAGCTTTGCTGAATTTCAGTGAGAAGCCGCTGTTTCTTGATTTATACAATATATTTTCATAGATATATTTTACTTAAATCCAAAAGAAGCATTTCCCTTCTGCTTAAATAATGCAACAGATGATGGGATTTAAAACCTCACACAATAATTTGACCTCTACTTTCCAGTTCATCAAGATGCTATAAAGACAACTAAGAAGGTAAAGTTACTTGTGCAGGATTAAAACCTTTGTGAAAAAATCATGGCTTTTAATATACTCATCCTTTGCTAAAAGACTTCTATAGTGTTTAAGAAGAGATGATTCTCCTCAGAAGCTAACACATTGAATAATGATAGCAATTATAACTTCCCACGTGGTACCTGTGTTTTCAAGATAGCTGTAAACATTGCTTATATAATGTTATGCCTATTTAAGGGTGAGCACAACTGACCCAGTTGCATGTAACAACTTCCTTGAACATTGCACTATCCATTATTCAAATCTTACCATTATTATATACCAAATGTTTTAACGTCTGGGAGCTAACGGACCATATCCCTGCAACTGGATCAGTGCAAGCTGATCCCACTTTCTGGGGCAGTCCTATTAAAATCTAAATATTTGATCAGGATAGAGGATCTTGCTAGCACAAATCCATGCACAGCACTGCATCACTTCTTAGATACAAGTTAATATGTCCTAGAGTAGAAATATTAATGCCATTGAAGAGTTTCATCACACATGTAAAATGGCATACCCTAATGGCTCTTTTCATTATACACATTTCATGACTTTACAGCTAATATATCACTAACAAAAATACCATCTATTTTTTTTTTCCATCTGTTGAACAGCACATAAATGCTGGCTCAGATTTTCTGCTGGAATAAAAAAAACCAAAAACAACACTTTTTTTTCCCAAGCTATTTTTAATTACCTTCCACGTAGTTAAGGAGATCATCAATATTCTAAATTCACCGTGTTGTAAATAAGGATGTAAGAACACAAGAACAGCTACACTGGGTCGGCCTAAAGTCTTCCTGTTCTAATGCCCTGTCTCCAAGAGAGGGCAACAGCAGATACCTAGGGAAGACTGTGAGAACAGGCAAGCGCACCCCTCCCAGATATATTCTCCCAGTCTGTTTATAACTGGGAAACATTTGGAATTCCCTTTTTTCCTGCATCTTGGGTATTTCGTTCTTGTAGCATCTGTGAAGGCGAAAAATTATCAAGTCTGCGTTCCTTAAGAAGGTGTCTCATTAAAAAAGAAGGCACGACAATAAACATCAGTTGCGAGGACTGGCCCCCAAAAGCAAACCATATCTTTATCTTTTCATCAGTGTGAAACACATACAGAAACCCCACAGCTCTCACCTTTTTTACTCCTATTTCTCCTATGCATTATGCATGATTACGGGTGTACCGAAACTAAATGAACACTTGCACAACAATCCTGAAAAACAGGCCACTCCTATAGCCCCACTGCGTATAGTGGGCCTGCCACAGCCACCCATGGCAGGCTGATGTACACAAGACGGATTATCCAAAAAGGCTGAGAGGTCACTGAATGTAGGTATTAACAAGTCGAAGAGATATCAAACCAGACATAAGCTATTTTTTAACAGAAATTAAAGTTCTCCATGTAGTCACTTGTTTTTACGAATCTTAAAAGTACCTGAAGGCTTATAATAAGGTCAGATGAGCTGGATACAATACTTAAATACATAGAAAGGCCTTGAAAGCACCAGATCATTCTAACAGTCCTTTTTGTAATGTGAAACATGAACATTTGAAACATGAAAGCATCCAAGAAGCCTAGCATAAATTGTGCATTGGAGTCCATAATTAATGCCTAAGTTAAATATGCAAATTGACAGACCTTCAGGTAGAGTTAAAATAGCATATTATTATAAAGACACTCTTAAGAACATAATCTATGCATATTTTAAGTCCATTTACTGATTAAAATACAACTACAACTTTTTATGGAACAGGGAAAATATTTTTAGCACTGTCATTATCTTATTAGAAATAGTAATGAAATATACTGCTATTTTATTAACGATTTTATTAAGTATTAGCATTACATCCTGTGTCTTTTATGCTCTCTGTAGTATTATTTTCATTTCAAAACACAAAGAGAAATTGACTTTTTTAAAATATTGATTTTTGGCTGCTAAAAATGAAAAAACCCCTCCATTTTTAATTTTCAGGTTTTAGTTTAAATATAAATGAGAGTAGTTGACATTTTCAAAAAAACCATGCTTGCCTGATGATGTTACCAGGATATATATTTTAACAGTAACAAAAGTAAAATTAATTCTATTGTGGAAAAATCCCCACTTTTTTCTAGCTTTAGCTAGTGATTAGAGCAGTTTTTATTAATTGGTATCATGGTTTAACCCCAGACAGCATCTAAGCACCACACAGCTGCTCGTTCACCCTCCCCCCCACCCCCGATGGGATGGGGGATAGAATCAGAAAAAAAAAGTAAAATCTGTGGGTTGAAATAAAGACAGTTTAATAGGACAGCAGAGGAAGGAAAAAAAAATAATAACAGCAACAGCAATAATAACAATAATAATAATAATGATAAAAGAATATGCAAAACAAGTGATGCACAATGCAATTGCTCACCACCCACTGACTGATGCCCAGCCCGTCCCCGAGCAGCGATCTCTGCCCCCCGGCCAACTCCCCCCAGTTTATACACTAAGCATGATGTCATATGGTATGGAATAGCCCTGTGGCCAGTCTGGGTCAGCTGTCCTGGCTGTGCCCCCTCCCAGCTTCTTGTGCACCGGGCAGAGCACGGGAAGCTGAAAGTCCTTGACTGGTATAAACACTACTGAGCAACAACTAAAACATCAGTGTGTTATCATCAACATTATTCTCATGTTAAATCCAGAACACAGCACCATACCAGCTACTAGGAAGAAATCAACTCCATCCCAGCCAAAACCAGGACAATTGGTTACTCTGCTTCCTGGCTAGGACCCATGTCTGTACCTTGCAGGAGGGTTAATAGCTGTTGGGTTCCAGTTAACTGTCATGGTCAGCCCGGATTTTCTATAGCTTGTCAAAAGGCTTCAGTTTGCTTTGCCATACTTGTATTCTGCAGCAAGGTACATTCATATTGCATGAATAGCACAATCTAAGAAAACACTGAGTGGAAAAACACAGCAGTTAAAGCTCATAACAGAGTAAAAAGCTCTTCAGAAACGGACAGGATAAGTGCAAATAATTAAAGGCTGAGGAGCCAATACTTGTGAATGTTATAGATAAAGGACAAGTTTGCAGTTGGGATTTGGGACAACCCACTGTTAGCCTTTGACAGTAAAACTGGAAGCTGCAAAGACAGGGAAATTGCTCTTTGCAGGCCAAAGCCTATGGAGAGTAGACCACAATTTTGACAGAACAGGACAAAACAGAGGAACCAAAAGACAAGAGACTTGAGACACATAGATCTAAAACAGTCCAAAAAACGCCATCGTAAGGTGCTGCCGACATCCATGCTGCCTAGGTCTCCATGGACTGCAGTGAGAGCACAGACACTTTGGGGAGGTTTTAGTTGCCTTTTAATACCATTTTAGTGACCTTGAGGCATCTTAACTATGCTTCAGCTGGTTCTTTATACACTCTGGAGTATCTAAGGCACTGGGCTGGCACATAGCACACAGGGCATGTTCTAGGGTCTACAAGAACTGCACCCATAGAGAGTGGTAACTTAAGGCTCTTCGAAAAGGAGGGGAGACCTAGATATCTTTTACGTTGAATGATAAAAGTCTGTACATGTTCTTCAGTCTGATATGTGCTTTTCTGAGGTAGTTTTATTACCTTGCATTCCCCCTAAATAGCTGATTATCTCTATGGAACTCATCTTCCTTGGTGCACCTGACAAAATGAAATGCCTTGACAATGGCCAACAAGTGACAGCACGGGAGTTGACACAGGCTGTAAAGAAGTATGTGTGTAGATATCGCACCACAAGCTTCCATTACTCTTAATTTAGCAGAGGCAAGGAGTGTCAGAGTAACTGAAAACATACATAAAAGACTGCAGATATAGTTCCTGATCCGTATTTGTCACTCTAAAATGACAGAATGGTAAATGAGACATGTGATAGCACTCTACTCAGCTCAAAAGCTATCCCTCTACTGCGAGGAACTGAAGTCAGAGCCATAGGGAACTGGAAGATGCACAGAGACAAGACCTGCTGTCCTATAAATTGGCATATCATAATGAGAATGGCATAATGCATAGCTACCTACAAACAGTACAGAGAGCAGAACAGCTAGTCATACAGTCCCTAACTATCCCCAGTGCGCACTGTAGAGGTACAGATGAAATTTTTTCTACGACATCAGAACAAAGAGAATTAAAAGGCACTGAACCAGTTATTTTGTTTGACAAGACGTCAAAGAGGTAACAGCCACAAGAGGCTCAGCAGGCTCATCTCCAAGGCACAACAAAACCAGGGTGCAAAACCGGCTTGACCAAAGTGAGACAGATCCCTGGCACAGTGCAGAACACCTGAGACT